TTACAATAAAGTTTAATACTACAGAACAGGCCAGGCATGGTGGCTTATGCCTGTAATCCTAGCACTGTCAGAGGCTGAGGTGGGAGGATCCCTTGAGCTCAGGAGTTCGAGACCAGCCTGAGCAAAAGTGAGACCCCCATCTCTACTAAAAATAGAAAAATTAGCCAGGCATTGTGGTGTGCACCTATATAGTCCCAGCTACTCAGGAGGCTGAGGCAGGAGGATTGCTTGTGCCCAGAAGTTGGAGGTTACAGTGAGATAGGCTGATGCCATGGCACTCTAGCCAGGGTGACATAGTAAGACTCTGTCTCAAAAAAAACTACAGTACAAAAAATAATCACAGACAATTCTCTTTTGATTCAAGCATTCTTTTTTTTCCCCATTGTTTACAATTTTATTATTAGATCAGTGTAAAAGTAATTGCGGTTTTTCAAAAATTCTTTCATATCTTCTCAAAGTCCTAAATAATAAAGGTAAATTCCTAGACATATACCACTATTCTGCTGTAATAGCTACTTGAACTAAATGAGAAAGATCTGACTGGCAAAGTCATATACAGTATTGGTACTTATAGAAAACATAACAAAACTAAGACATTGTTGCTTTAACAAGGCCCCTTTCTCCATAGGATATCACATACAATACCTTGTTTTCCCCAACATTATCTCCATCCTTCCTCCATTTTCTTAGTGATTTGGGGACCTGATTTACATTTTCCCCCAACTCTATCTCCCACCATGTTCTAGGAATGGTATCCAGACCTCTTCAATCTAATGATTTCACTCTCTGTCACCACAGAATCACCTCTACTACTCCACCTCAAAATATCAAGCTTTGAATTTTGCCTCCAGTGACAAAAAAGCCTATCTTATACCACTTTCACTAACTTGCTCCTAACAAGCATATTTGCAAAGTTTTTGCCATGATGATACATCCGAGTATATTCCAAGTATATTAATCTATTTGTGGCTTCACTTACTCATTCCTTCCAAAAGTGTATCATCTGTAACACTTTTCTAAAAGGTTAGAACCTCTTAATGTTTTACTGTGGTCTAACAACCCATAACTACAGGTAACACCCCAACATTTGCTTCCTCAACTTTCATGTTGCTGTCACAATATCACAATAATCAAGTCCCATGAAAACTCATGCTAAGGTATCGTGGCAAGATCCTCTGCTAGTCTATTATTCAGGTATTCAAAATTTTTTTGAAGTAGCAGAAGAGGTGATGTCAGCTTAAAGTGCAAGCTCAGTTGAAAAGACTTGCTTATTTTAGGCCAAATGAAGACTGTGTACTTATGCAGAGAAGAAGAAACTAATACAAAGTGAGAAAGGATTATGAGAGAGAAAATTATTGAGAGAGGAAGACTACAGGAGGGGATCATTGCTTAAAATCTGTGGTAGGGATAAGAAGCCAGCCTTATGAAGGAGAAACTATCTCCTCTGAGACAGAAGTGAAGACAACAAGAATATAGATAACTGCTGACACAATAAAAGTAACTGAGGAATATCAGAATAGACTTGGTTTCAGTAAAATAAGAATAGGGCCTTAAAGTAAGGGAAAGAGTTAGGAATGGTCAATGAGAGAGTACTACTGAATTTTCAAGAGACATACTTGTTCTAAACAGCAGGTTACAGAGAAGAAAAAGAAGCATGTATATGTATACATGTTTCACAAACAATTATAGTCTCAGGAATCCTCAAGACGCAGGACAAACAAGAAAATGATGTACAGCAAAGTTTTGTTAAAAATTTTGTAAAAATTGGCTTCCGTGTGGCAAAATGTTAATTGTTGAATCTCGGGGATAGGCACATGGGAGTTTATTATACTCTTCTCTCTACCTTGTGTAGCTTGGAAATGTTTGGAATAATGAATGTTTTAAAAATTTGCCTAATCATCATACGACCTCAGAAGCAACTGTCCTCTTCCCCAGTAAGCTCACCAATTTGCCTGAACTTTCCATAAGATTTTAGGAATTTCAAAGAGGCAATTAGACACAGATAAATTAGACACAGCCAATTAGACACAGACTCCAGAGGACTTTAAAATTTACTAAAGAGGAGGCAAAAATAATTCTATTTTGCCAGGATTTGTTCCACATTTGACCAAATCTATTCTAGAAAGTAGGAAATACAAATCAGCATTAAAAAAAAAAGACATGAACAGAAACGTTTCAAAAGAAGATAGACTAATGGCCAAAATGTTCAACATCTCTAATCATCAGAGAAATGCCAACCAAAACCACAATGAGATATCACTTATCCCCAGTCAGAATGGCCTTTACCAGAAAGTCCCAAAACAATAAATGTTGGCGTGGATGTGGAGAGATATGAACACTCCTACACTGCTGGTGGGACTGCAAACTAGTACAACCTCCGTGGAAAGCAATATGGAGATACCTCAAAGAGCTACAAGTAGAACTACCATTTGATCCAGCAAACCCAGTACTGGGAATATACGCAAAGGAACAAAAGACTTTCTATAAAAAAGACATCTGTTCTTCTTTTTCCAGCTCTTTGAATCGTTTCATTAGATTGTCTATTTGTGATCTTCTTGTCTTTTGGTTATAGGCATTTATGGAGATAAACTTTCCTCTCAGAACTGCTTTAGCTGTGTCCCAGAGGAGTTGATAACTTGTCTCTCTATTGTCGTTTTCTTCATAGAAGTTTTTTATTTCCGTCTTGATTTCTTCATTTACGAAGTAATCATTTAGTAGGAGGTTGTTTAATTTCCACGTTTTTGTGTAGAAATGTGAGTTTCTGTTACGGTTGATTTCTAGTTTTATTCCACTGTGATCTGAGAAGGTACATGGTTGATTCTATTTTTTTAAATTTCTTGAGATTTTCTTTGTGTCCTAGGATATGGTCAATCTTAGAGAATGTCCCGTGAGCTGATGAGAAGAACGTATATTCAGTGGATTTTGGGTAGAATGTTCTGTAGATGTCTGTCAGACCCAATTGTTCTAGAGTTTTGTTTAAGTCCATTATTTCTTTATTAATTTTCTGTTTGGAGGATCTGTCTCGTGCTGTCAGTGGGGTGTTGAAATCTCCGGCGATTATGGAGTTGCTATTAATAAAACCATCCTCATATAGCCATCTCATCTTTGACAAAGCAGACAAACATACGCTGGGGAAAAGAATCTCTCTTCAATAAATGGTGCTGGGAAAACTGGATAGCCACCTGTAGAAGGCTAAAACAGGACCCACACCTTTCACCTCTCACAAAAACCAACTCACACTGGATAACAGACTTAAACCTAAGATATGAAACTATTAGAACTCTAGAGGAAAAAGTTGGAAACATCTCCTAACATCGGCCTGGGCAAAGAGTTTATGAAGAAGTCCCAAAGGCAATCACAGCAGCAACAAAAATAAATAAATGGGACATGATCAAACTACAAAGCTTCTGCACAGCCAAAGAAATAGTCATGAAAGTAAACAGACAACCTACAGAATGGGAGAAAATTTTTGCATCCTATGCATCCGATAAGGGACTGATAACTAGAATATACTTAGAACTCATGAAAATTAGGAAGTAAAAATCAAATAACCCCATTAAAAAGTGGGCAAAGGACTTGAACAGAAATTTTTCTAAGAAGACAGAAGAATGGCCACAAACATAAGAGAAATGCTCAACATCTCTAATCATCAGGGAAATGCAAATCAAAACCACAATGAGATATCACTTAACACCAGTGAGAATGGCCTTTATCAAAAAGTCTCCAAACAATAAATGCTGGCGTGGTTTGCGAGAGAGAGGAAAACTCCTACACTGCTGGTGGGACTGCAAACTAGTTCAACCTCTGTGGAAAGCAATATGGAGATACCTTAAAGCGATACAAGTGAATCTACCATTTGATCCAGCAATCCCATTGCTGGGCATCTACCCAAATGATCCAGTGACACTCTACAAAAAAGACACCTGCACTCGAATGTTTATAGCAGCACAATTCATAACTGCAAGGCTGTGGAAACAGCCCAAGTGCCCATCAATCCAAGAATGGATTAATAAAATGTGGTATATGTATACCATGGAGTACTATTCAGCTCTAAGAAACAATGGTGATATAGCACATCTTATATTTTCCTGGTTAGAGCTGGAACCCATACTACTAAGTGAAGTATCCCAAGAATGGAAAAACAAGCACCAGATATATTCTCCAGCAAACTGGTATTAACTGAGTAGCACCTAAGTGGACACATAGGTACTACAGTAATAGGGTATTGGGCAGGTGGGAGGGGGAGGGGCGGGTATATACATACATAATGAGTGAGATGTGCACCATCTGGGGGATGGTCATGCTGGAGACTCAGACTTTTGGGGGGTGGGGGGGAAATGGGCATTTATTGAAACCTTAAAATCTGTACCCCATAATATGCCAAAATAAAAAAAATTAAAAAAAAAAGACATCTGCACTAGAATGTTTATAGCAGCACAATTCACAATTGCAAAGTTGTGGAAACAACCCAAGTGCCCATCAATACATGAGTGGATTAATAAAATGTGGTATATGTATACCATGGAGTACTATTCAGCTATAAGAAACAATGGTGATATAGCACCTCTTGTATTTTCCTGGATAGAGCTGGAACCCATTCTACTAAGTGAAGTATCACAAGAATAGAAAAACAAGCCACGTGTACTTACCACAAATTTGTGTCACTGATCAACACCTAAGTGGACGCATAGGAATAACATTTGTCAGGCATCGGGTAGATGGGGGGTTGGAGGGGGTGGGTATATACATACATAATGAGTATGATTCACACCATCTGGGGGATGGACATGCTTGAAGCTTTGATTCGGGTGAGGCAAAGACAATATACGTAACCTAAACATTTGTACCCCCATAATATGCTGAAATAAAAAAATTATATAAAAAAATTAGGCTAAGTATGTTAAAGGTAATGACCTGAGCCTTAAGATAAAAGCCATGAGGAAAAATACTTCTACTGTCTACTAAGCATGTACTTTAGGAATAAGATTACTAACACCTACTTCATCTCCAGAACTTCCTCTAGGTGTTTCCTTCTCTCTGCCCGAAGATTGGTCAAATGTGTTTCCTTTTCTGCCAGAGACTGCTGGGTGGAGGATAACTTTGCTTTCATGGATTCCAGTTCCTGCTTTACCTTCTCCATGGCCATCAGTAACTCCTCCACCTATGATAAATGTGGAAAAGACAAAAACAGAACATAGTGGGTCAAATTATCATCAGAGGACCTGGGCAACAGACAACTCCAGGGTTTACAATATGGAAGATACACATGAACACATAAAAAATTCTGTATTCTTTCTGGATCAGACATATATATTAAGAAGGTACAGCAGAAAATTACACTCCTATACTGTAATTCTTTTCAGTTTAGGTCAGAAAGAACTTAATTTTCTTTTTGATACATGCAAGGGCACATACAAATCATCAGTTTAAGAAGTCACACGCTGCCATAGGCAATTGCTTTTAAGGAAGCTTTTTGGAAATTGTTCAGAAATTTCTATGGAAATAATAATATAACACAAGTAAAAATATAAAGAACAAAATCATATATAGAAGAGTTTTAGAAAATAAGATAAAAACCTGGCTAATAACAGATTTAGCATTTACACAGATGAGTAATTTTTACTTATCTAATTTTCCTGTTTATCCATTAAAAAGAGTTTCTTTTTAATGAAACGGCTGGAAAAATTTCCTGCTCTAGAGCCATGTAGGTAGGGTTTTATTTTTAAGGAAGGCAGGAAAAAAAAGCATGTATATGTGTATGTATGTATACAAGTATGTGTGTAAAATACAGATAAAAAGGAGACAGACTGCTTTAACAAGACCTTAAAAAAACACCTGGCTAGAAACAGACCTGTAAACAAACAAACAAAAAACTTCTCAAGAGAAGACAGAATACTAAAACATAAGGAAAAGAAACCAAGAGAGCAAAGCATATATTTTATCAGTCATTTCTGTTTACTCTGGGTCATTATCAAATCAGAATTATTTAAATAAACAGGTTCATTTTAATTTGGAAGCAAAATATATGCTGACAAACACATCTGCTATTACCAAAAAGTAACCTCATCCAGGCAAGCAAACAGCCAGCTACATCAGTAATGAGAGTTTATGTCAGGTTGCTGCTTGCCAAGAAATAATCTTGGTGACAACAAATCTTTTCAGAAATAGAGAGCAGCAGGCAGAAGGGGTGGGTAGTAGAGGCAGGGCACCTGCCATTCTGTGACTCCTACATTCACCCAATTTGTGTGATACTAAAACTGAGATGATTCTAAAGATAAAACTTCAGAATGACAAACCAGAGTTGTTCACAGACCACTGGATATTAGTGCATGATATCTAAAGAAAGTCTCTATTTTGATTGGGAACAGCTGCTAAACACTGATAGCAAGCAGATGCATTTAGCTATTGGCACCAAAATTATTTAATCTTTTAGGAAGTGATCAAGGTAATGTCCTCAGCCAACAGCATCTTCACAGTCTCAGTTGCCAGAGGTATATATTGTTATACAGATCTCCTGGGATATGTATTTAGATATCTGCAAGCTTTACATGAACATATATCACCGATTACATTTCATCCATTTAATTCATGTAAAATCTTATCTAAAATTGGGCACAAATAATACTCCAACCTATGTTCTTATGATAGCACAAAACCAGTAATGGATAAGCATAGGAGCTCTAAAGATGAAAGCACAGGATGTGTCTATCTTTTATGAACTTACTTGAAACATCTCAACAAGTTGCCCTCCCATCCTGTCTTTTGACACCCTAGACAACCAATGGTATCAGTTTCTTACATACCTTGGAGATATTTTACACATATACAGGTAAGCATGTATAAACAACCTATTCCTCCTTTTTCTACACTCTATACATACTGTTTTGTATTTAAACTCTTTAGTAAACTTTTTATTAAAATACAACATAAATACAGAAAAATACACAAATGATAAATGTACAGCTTGAAAAATTTTCTCCAAGTGACCACATCTATGTAATCAACACACAGATCAATAAATAAAACATTACCAGTACCCAGAAATTACCTTCATATCTCCTTTCCAAGATAAAGAGTAACCAATATTCTGTGTTTCAAAACTCTCGGTTAGTTTTGCCTGCTTGTTTTAACTTTATACAAATGGAATTATATAGTGTATAATTTTAAACATTTTAAAATTCAGTGTTGTATCTGTGAGATTCATTTATGTTGATGGGCATAATTATAATTCTATAATTTTCATAACTGTATGAAAATGACAAAATTTATTTATAGCACTTTTGATAATGACAAGTTTTTAATTTTAATGAAATTTAATCAATTTTTTCTTTTATATTTCTTCTGTGTTGACAGCTTTTTGTACGGTGAATAAGATTTTGTCTCCCTCAAGGTCATGAGGATACTCTTCTATCCTTTCTCATAAATTCTGTATTGTTTGTTTCCTGTTTAGATCTATAATACATATGTAACTGATATTTGTATATGTTGTAATGGTCAAAATTCATTTTTTTATCAATAGGAATATACTATAAACAGTTGAAGGACTTCAACAGTCATGGTTAGAAAGAATTTTCCATCTATTTTGTAAAAGATCAGAAATTACTTAAAGACTACTTATAAATTATAGGAAAAAATGATTTAAAAATGCTTTACATTGCACATAACCACCTATAAATTTTATAAACAAAGAATGTGAACTACTGCATGCAAGAAAAAAGCGACTACCATATGTATATATTCAGAATTAAGAGCAATGCACACATCTATACACTCAGTACCCAGGAGCTTTGTCAGTACAGTTATCCAACCATATCCCCTAAATCCTCTGTGAAAGGTAGTCAGCATTCTTAATTTGTGTTACTTATTCCCTTACATTTTTTTAACCTCTCATGCATACATTCCAAAATAAATTAGTTTATTTTTATCAGTTCATGAACTTTGTATAAATGGAATCTTCTGAGCTTTTTTCAGCCAACATTATACTTTTTGATGCATTAAAAAAAAAAAAAGGCTCACCATATGTGTATATTCTACAACCAAGAGCAAAACACACACCTATGTACTCACAACCCAGGAGCTAGCTAGAAGCAACGATAGCTCCGCAGCACTAACTACTATGGCAGCACATAGATTATGGTTTCCCACTAAACTGGATAGGCTCCTTGGAACAACAGCTGATTCTAGATTTGGGGCAAGAAATATACAGGAAAAAGTTTGTACATCTTTTTCTAGAAAGTAAGAGAAATAATAATCATGGCAAAAGAACACAGAAACTCTAATATCAAAACCAGCTAAAGATACTATAAGAAAGGAAGAAAAAGAAAGAAAAGAACTACAGAGGACTATCCCCTGTGAATACAGATGCAAAAATCCTCAACAAAATACTAGAAAACCAAACCCAGCAACACATAAAAATTGTGATTTGTCCTAGGAATACAAGGTTGGTTTAACATATAAAAATCAATTAATGTAATTGCTGTGGTTTGGATATTTGTCCCTTCCAAACCTCATGTTGAAATAACATCCTCAATGTTGGAGGTGGGACCTAGTGGGAGGTGGTTGGGTCATGGGGGAAGATTTCTTATGAATAAATTAATGCCCTCCCTTGGGGGTGAGTTTTCATTCTGTGAGTTACCTGAGAGAAAAAGCTGTTTGTTAAAAAGAACCTGGCACTCTCCCACCTGGACTCCTCTCTCTCCACATGATCTCTGCACACACTGGCTCTCCTTTACCCTTCTGCCGTGACAGAAGCAGCCTGAAGCCCTCACCAGATGTAGACGCTCAATCCTGAACTTTCCAGTCATCCAGAATCAGGAACCAAATAAATATTTTTTCTTTATAAATTACCCAGCTTCAGGTATTCCTTTATAGCAACACTAAGCATATTAAGACAGTAATACACCATATTACTAGGATATAGGACAAAAACCATATGATCACCTCAATAGACACAGAAAAAGCATTTGACAATTTCCAATACTGTTTCATGATAAAAATATTCAAAAAACTAAAAATAGAACTTCCTCAACTGATAAAGGACATCTATGAAAAACCTACAGCTAACATTATCCTTAATGATGAAAGACTGAATGCTTTACCTCTAAGACTAGGACCAAGAACAAGACCAAAATGTCTGCTTTCATCACTTCTATTTAACACTGTACTAGATGTGATAGCCAGAAAAGTTAGGCCACACAAAAAATTAAAAGGTATCCTCTTTAGACAGGAAGACACAGACTATAGTTGAAGATGGCATGCTTTTGTACAGAGAATAATCCTAAGAAAACCACTAAAAATCAATGACAATAAATAAGTATATAAAGGTTGCAAGACACAAGATCAATATAGAAAAATCAGCAGTATATCCATACACAACAATGAAAATGAAATTAAGAAAATAATTCCATTTATCCCCAGTTCAAATCCAGGTGTCCCCTCAAATATAAAAAATTTAAAAATTAAAAAAAAATAATTCCATTTAAAATAGCATCAAAAATGAAATACCCAGGTATAGATTTAACAAGAAAAATGTAACACATATATACTGAAAATGATAAAGCATTATTGAAAAAATTATTGAAAAAATTAAAGAAAATTTAAACAAATGGAAAGACATCAGTGTTCATGGATTGAAAGATTTAATATTATTAAAATGGCAGTATTCTCCAATTTGATCTACTGGTTCAACATAATCCCTATAAAAACCCAGTTGTCTTCTTTTTTTTTGCAGAAATTGACCAGCTGATCCTCAAATTCATATGGAAATAAAAGGGAGCCAGAATAGCCAAAATCATCTTGAAAAGGACAAGAAATACTGGAAGACTACTCATACTTCTCAACTACAAAACTTACTACAAAGTTTCAGGGCTTGTACTGGTTTAATGGGGGACAAACAGATCAATGGAGAACTGACAATCTATAAATACACCCTAATGTTCTGAGTCAAGGGTTTGACAAGGGGACCAAGACAATTCAGTTGGAAATAATGCTCATTTGAACAAAGGATACTTGGACAAACACACCAGTCCTTCATATTTTTAATTTTTTTATGCCATTAACTGCTTGATGAAACTGGGTCATTGTCCTGTAGAACATACTAGATTCTGAATTCAGTCGACTGTTTCTTTATAGTGCCATATAATCTGTTCCTCTTGTCCTACT